GTACTACTGATGGGAGCAATTTGGGGTGGGGTTTGATCCTATCACTTGTCAAAGGCTTATCCTAAAATGTTTTTGGTGTGCCTAGTAGTGTCACACCTCTGACCTCCTATCTTAGTGGCTTAGACTCTATAAGGCTGAGCAGTAGAAAACCCAGTAACCATTTTCACACTTGTGGTGGCTGTCAGCTGATCCTGTGGCTGACCTCTCCCTGCTTGGGGGGATTCCTCACCACATGAGTCTTGGTGGGAGGCAGAGTCCACTTCTGTAGGAGCTAAGGAAGCCTGGGCGCCCTTTCCCAGCCCCCTTGAGGTCAGAGAGTGGGCGTGTGGCCTTCGCTCACTCTGTGAGCCTCGTGTACCTGTTTTTTGTAATGTGGGTGGGAGCAGTCTTTCTAGAGTCACTATAACCTCTAGCTTCTGGGGTTGTTGTGCCAGAGACCACCTCCCTTTGTTCTAGCTGTTTCTCCTGCCTTCCCACCAGTTTTGTGAGCTACCCAACAGCTTTTCTCTTTCTTTGAGTATGACCTTTTCTTATATGTCATTTCTCCCCAATTTTAATGTATAATTACACACATTTTTCTTTTTTTAATTTTTTGCCGAATCATTTGTGATGTAGCTGCAGACATCATGACACTGTACCCTGATGCATCTCTGATGCAATTACAATGAAATCATGTCCAGTATGTTTTCCAAATATTTTCTTCTGCCATGGCAACTAGAGGCAATTTCTGTTGCTTATGGTTAAGAGTCCTGATGGACATATCATTTGGGAAATTGGCAAGATGTGATGGAAAGAGTAGGTGTTTGAGTACAATACGGACCTGAGTTGAAAATCCCTAATTTGGCTTTAACTTAACAAAGTCATTTATCTCTCCAAGCCCCCCTTTTCTCATCTGGATAGACACAATGCCTACCTTGTAAAATTGTGAGAATGTGGCATAATGTGTGCAAGGGACATAGCATAGTTTCTAGCACCCAGTACTTGCTCAATAAATATTCATTAAGTGAATGATTGAATGAATAAAGATACTAGGTCAGTGGTTGTCAAACGTGGCTGTACATTAGAACCACCAGGTTAAAAACATCCTGAGGCCAGCCTGCACCCTAGAACAATTGCATCAGAACCTTTGGGGTACAAACTCAGACAATAGTTTTTTTTTTTTTAGATGGAGTCTCGCTCTGTCACCAGGCTGGAATGCAGTGGCACAATCTCAGCTCATTGCAACCTCTGCCGCAGCCTCCCTAGTAGCGGGGACTATAGGCACATGCCACCACACCCAACTAATTTTTGTATTTTTAGTAGAGATGGAGTTTCACCATGTTGGTCAGGATGGTCTCGATCTGTTGATCTCATGATTCACCCGCCTCGGCCTCCCAAAGTGCTAGGATTAGAGGCATAAGCCACGGAACCTGGCCAACATTAGTATTTGTTAAGCTCCCCGTGTGATCTAACATGTAGCCTTGGATGTTGGAGTGTGACCTGTTCTGGTCCCTTGTGTCCTCCTTAGTCAAACTGGAGAAAACAGAAACCTCGTAAGGTGGCTGTGAGATGTGAAAATGTATAGACCTAATACATAGTAGGTCTTAGTAAACACCAGTTTCCAATCTCCTCTGCATGTCTTCAGTTAGGTGTAGCCTTCTGTGTAGGTGCAGGAGACACTGAAACATCACGGAAGGTTTGGAGGTGCACTGGGATTCCCCTCCCACCCACCGAAATTTGTGTCCTGTATTAGTTTGCTCTGGCTGCCATTAACCAAGTTCCATGACTGGGTGGCTCGAATGAAAGAAATATACTGTCTCACAGTTCTGGAGACTGGAAGTCTGAGATCAAGGTGTCAGGTTGGTCCCTTCTGGGGCTGTAAGGGAGAATCTGCTCCATGCCTTTCTCCTTGCTTCTAGTCTGCTGGCAGTCTTTGGTGTTTTTTTGGCTTGTGGCAGCATAACTCTAGTCTTCACATGATATTCTCCTGTGTCTGTGTCCAAATTTACCCTTTTTGCGAGGACACCAGCCATATTGAATTATAAACTCAGCTTCCCTTAGCATAATCTCATTTTATATGATCTGCAATAATTCTATTTCCAAATAAGGTCATATTCAGAGAGACTGTGGGTTAGGAGTTGAACATATGAATCTGGGAGCAGAGGACGACACAATTCAACCTGTAACCTTTTGTGGAGGGGCCAGTGGAGGTGTGGGAGGGGTTGCAGCAACCCCACATCTATGATCTGGGCTGGCCTCAAGGTAGAGAGCAAAGCTCTGTGCTCAGAATAAGTTGAAGTGTTAGAATAATCCCTCTTACCCTTCCCAAACTTCCCTGAAACCCCCAAATATCTCCCACCAAGTTTTCAGCATGCCTGAAATTTCCAGCCAATAATAGTATCATACTTTCTGACTGTAGGACTGTATTTCTGAAAGGTCCTTGTTCAGACCCAAATATTTTATAATACAGAAAAAAAAAAAAAAAAAGCCTTGGACTTGGAGACAGAAGACTTGGGTGTCAAGCCAGGGGAGAGATGGGGACAGGAAACTGAGCCACAGAGCATTCAAGATAGACTTGGTCTCCTGGAAAGTTTCACCTAAGGTCTAAATTGAGCCAGTTTCCCACCACCCTGACTCACATAGGCCTTTTTTCCACACTTTGTTCTCCAATCCTGAATCCCTAACCCAGATCCTCCATAAGTAGAAGACTTTTAAGAACCTATACGCTCTTGGTAGAAATGAGGGCACATAATCAATGCTATGGGCTGAGTGTTTGCCACCCAGTTTATGGTATTTGTCATAGCAGCCCAAACTGACTAAGACAGCCAGCCAAAGGTAAGACAATACATGCTAATCTTTTACTTATTCATATAACACAGTGAAGCTTTCTTTTTAAATGAAATGATGCATAATAATTCATACTTATCTAGGACAGAATGATCTACAAAGTACGTACTTTTACATACATGCTTCATGCACACCCTCATAGTGTGGGTGAGTCTGTTATTGGCTTCTCTACAGTTTATAGATGAGGAAACTGAGCCTTGAGAGGCCCAAGGTCACAGTGGGAAAGAGCTTGGACTTGGAGTTTAGATCCAGGGCTCAAATGCCATTCAACTCCACAGACAGTTTACTTTGGACATCTTTAGGCCAGGTTTCCATGTTTGTGGACTTCTTTGTGCCATCACAGACGGTTGCACAAATGAAAGCTGTGCAAAGTTCAATGAAGCTTAATTCCACACAAAACAAATGATGTTTGGGCTGATGGGCCCTAGACAAGTTCACAGGAAGTTCATGGGGTGAGTACCTGGTGTTGACCAGAAGATGAGATGTAGGCAAGTATAGTAAGAGGAAACAGAAGTAGAAAAAAGCCAAAAGATGGTCTCCTGTTAACTCACTCAGCCAACCACAAACATTGCCAGGCACTGAGGGAGATGGCAGGAACTGGGTTTGTGCTTTTGAGAGATTTCCACTCCAGTTGAGGCCATTGGCGGTCTGGGGCTGGCCTGAGCTTGGAGACATGCTCTGCTCAGAGATCAGCGAGGTTCCTCTCTTCTGGATTCTGTGTGAGGGAATGTGGAGGTGTAAATGCTGTAGAACCACTGTGGGTTTTTTGTGTTCCAGGCGTGGTTAGAGGTCTGCAGCCCTGTGTCCAGGACACCTCTGTTTGGAGGGAGAGATAGGCCTGCAAGAGTCCAGTTGAGATTGAGCAGTGGTTTCCGTGGGTGGAGGGAGGGGAAGCCCAGGAGGTGGTGACTAGTGGAGGTTGTGGTCAGGGACAGACAGTGTGGCTCGTGGCGTGCAACTCTCTGGCAGCTCCTTTTCAGCAGTCTCATCTGCCACTCCCTCGCTGACTGGGTTATCCTTCTATCTTCCCATTCATACTTCTCTTTGTGCCTCTTCCCTTGGGTTCTTGAGGAGCTAGATTAGGGGAAGACCCCTGATTAAAGACTGCCCTGGGAGCCAGTCTATTAGAGATGCCAAAATATCACCGGAAGTATAAAGAGTCAGATATGAAACGCTCCCAGGGAGATGGCTGGATGTGCTGAAAGAAATACAAGATAAGCATCTTGGGATAGGTAGGAATGGGATGGCATGGGGAGAGGGTGAAGTGAGCCTCTCAAGGGGCCTCAACCCCCAAACCTGCCTTCTAAGAAGGGTGGGTTCAAAGCCCAAGGTGCTTTGGTTTTGCCAAGTGGGTATGTGAGTCGGAGTCCTTTGCCTTTTTGCTCCCTGGCTCAGCCTACCCTCTGAATAAAAGTTGAACAAAATGTTAAGAATCAGTGTGAAAGTGTGTTTGAAAGATTAGGCCAACTAGAAACCCATAGGCTTAGCTCTGATTCCACAAACTATCTAATTATCTCTTCCTTATCCTGTTTCTCCCATCAGTGGTGAGTAGTGGCCCCACCTGTAGGCTGGCAGGTCCATGGGAGCCCCTTCCCTTCACTGGTATGCCGTCCAGCCCTGTCCAGCAGTTGCTACTGGCCTCATTATTAAAATTAGCCCTGGACCAATCAAACTCCTCCAGATCTACTCTCCCATTGGCAAATAGATCATTGAAGTTGCATCTGGAACTGAAGGGGAAATGCCTTACAAGCTCTCTCCAGGTTGGCCATAGGGCTATATTGGTATCTACTAAGGGCTATACTGGTATCTACTTTATTCAATAACAAGATATTGAGTGTCTTCTGTGTGCAAATCCCTGCTCAAGGGACGGTAGAAGACTCTGGACTCATTTTTTTAAAAAGTTGGCCAGGTGCGGTGGCTCACGCCTGTAATCCCAGCACTTTGGGAGGCCGAGGCAGGCAGATCACGAGGTCAGAAGATCGAGACCATCCTGGCTAACATGGTGAAACCCCATGTCTACTAAAAATACAAAAAATTAGCTGGGCATAGTGGTGGGCGCCTGTAATCCCAGCTACTCGGGAGGCTAAGGCAAGAGAATGGCATGAACCCAGGAGGCAGAGCTTGCAGTGAGCCGAGATCGCGCCACTGCACTCCAGCCTGGGTGACATAGCGAGACTCTGTCTCAAAAAAAAAAAAAAAACCCAAACAAAACAAAACAAAACAAAAACACTTGCAGCCAAATGTACCTAACGGAGGAGGTGCATGTCAGAATCACATGGGAAGCTTTTCCAAATCCCCACGCCAGAGCTGAATCAGGTTCACAGATTGGGCCCACGTCTTTGTGGCATGGCACAGTTTAGAGTGGGACTTATATTTATGCCCTTGGGTGTGAAGCAATGGGCCAGTGTGAGAGGCAGGCATGTGTACCATGAACTGGAAGGCAAGGCCAAGCATAGCCATCGCCAGACAGAGAGAGAAGCAATCTCTCTACTATTACACCCTACTCTCTTTCTACTACTCTCTGAGAGTGCTGACTAGGAAAGAAAGGTAAATATTTATAGAGAAGCATCCTGGGACAAAGAAGGTAAAGTGTGCCCCAGGGCATGGCTCCCCAAGAAGCATAAATCTGAAGGATAGTATCAGCTGTTGATTCTTTGCTCCCACTGAGCACACAGTGATAGAACACTGGGGTTCAACACCAGGTTCCTGTCCCCAAGCAGCTTGCAGCCTGATGGGGCAGGGAGATAAGACATTGCATGTGTATAACTGCAACACAAAGTTGTTTTATTTTAGAGGGGACAAGCAGAATCCCATGACAACCCAGAGAGTGTCCTAATTTGCAGATTGGGGAGGGTGTCCTGGAGAAGTTGGCCTGTCAGCTAGAACATGTTCCAGACCCAGGTGACAGCAAGACAAATGCCTAGAGGTAGGGTATTGGGGAGATAGGTGTCTGGAAGAAGGCCAGTGGTGTTTTGGGGCTGGATCCCAAGCTGCTGTGGGGAGGAGGCTTAGAGTGAAATAAGAATGGAAAAGTTGGCTGGCATCGGATTGTGGAGGCCTTGAAAGCCTTGCTAAAGTGTATGGACTTTATTTGTAAGTAATGAGGAATCACTAAGGGTTTTGAAGCACCTGGCGTAAGGGCAGAGGACAGCCTGGTGGGGAAAGAGAGGAGCAGTGCGGAGATGCCAAGGAAGTGCGGCCCTGTTTCAGGGATGAAACCATGGGCGTGCAATAGCAAGAATGAGTCAACTCTGAAAGCCACTAGACAGACATAGTCCTTTGGACCTGGCTGTGGAAGTTGAGAGAAAGAAAATACAGGCCTCCAAGAGGACTTGAGGTTTGGAGTGTGGGTGGGTGGGGGGAAGCTAGCACCATCCACCAAACATGAGGAGGACACTTTAGGTGCAAAGTGATAAGTCTGAAATCAGCTCACTATCCACCTGGGAAGGATGAGATGTTGGAGGAGTCCACCCTAGATGCCTTCACCAAGTTGGGTGTTCACCAAGGTAGGTGAGCCTTTGGGGTTGGGTTGTTGGTCCCTGGAGGGTAGCAACTGTATCTCATTCATCTTTGTATTATCTTAGTGCAGAAGGCAGCACTGATTATATTCATTCCTTCAATCCAGCACTGATTATATTCATTCCTTCAATCAAATATTTATGAGCTACATTTTTAAGGGCCAATTCATGGACTAGGACTTGGATCCAGGATACAGAACATTTCTCCAGTCTAGTTGTGGATTTTTAGAATCCAGATTTCAACATGACCTTGCTTATCTCAGGGTATGGTGACTTTTGTCTTCCAGACAGCCTCGTCCAGCAGTACCTGAGGAATACAGAGCCAGGCGCCTCCAGAGTGAATAAACCAGTTGGGACAACCCTACAGTCAGGCAAGGGAGGCACTGTGTTGTCAGCATCATGCAGTTATCACACACATTGAGCTTTAGGCCCTGTAAAGTCTTCAAGGAAGCACCTTTCCCAGAATCCTTTCATGTCTTAGAACCTTCTGAACCAAGCATTGATTAGAAACACACGTCTAAATGAAGGAGCGTGCAAGATGAACTCAGAGTTCAAGAAATGTTTTTCTGGATGGCAGTATAAAATTCCCAGGTAGGAAGCCACTTTCCCGCAGATAAGAGGCTGGCAGGACCCACTGGTGTAATGAATCATCTCCACTGCACGCCTGCAGCGGAGGTGACGTCCCCACCCTGATGTGTTCTGCAGTGCTCCTTCCAGGCCCACTTCTCCATGACCCCGATTCCAGTCCCCTGTCCACCTGCTCCTGCAGCGCCACAGGCCCCTCAGTAGAAGGAGGCACCCTCATAGGTGAAGGCACCAGGGGAGTGGGGGATTGGGGCTGGGCTGGGCGCCTGCAGCCGGCAGAACCAGAACTGCCGGAGGACATGTTTCAGGTGTGTGCGGAACTTGACCCCCACGAAGACATAGAGCACCGGGTTAAAGCAGCAGTGGGAGAAGGCAAGGTTGCGGCAGATGAGCAGGGCGTATTCCAGCTGATGTTTGGCCTCGCAGCTCCGGATGATCTGGGTGTGAAACAGTGTCTGCAGAAACAGGGTGAAGTTGTAGGGACCCCAGCTGAGGAAGTAGGCCACCACGATGGCGAAGATGAGCTTGACTGTGCGGTGGCGCCGCTTGGAGCGTGAGCGGAACAGGGTCCTGAGGATCTCCACGTAGCAGAACAGGATAATCCCCAGCGAGAGCAGGAAGAAGAGGTTGTGCTGGTAGACGGAGGTGAGGTACCACGTGAGTTCGGAATAATCACAGCCTGAAGAAAGCACCTTGTGGAAGACGGCGTCGAGGATGGAGGACAGGATGCTGGCTACCCACACAGCCGTGGTCACCAGCACCCGGCAGCGGAGGGTGGGGACGCGCAGGGTGGAGAGGGGGCTCACTACCGACAGGTAGCGGTGGATGGTCATGATGGTCAGGAAGAAGATGCTGCTGTAGAGGCTGATGGAGAAGATCATATTGAGGAGCTTGCAGAGGAAGTCTCCCAGCACCCAGCCCCAGTGGTATGGGGAGATCCACACAGGCAACAAGCAGGCGAACACCAGGTCTGAGAGGCACAGGTTGAGGATGAAGATGTTGGTGAGGGACTCCAGGCTCTCATACTTCACCAGGACCCACAGCACCAGGCTGTTGCCCACTAGGCTGAGGAGAAACACTAGGCAGTACAGGATGGTGGTGGCAAGGGTAGCAAAGGCCCAGGCCTGGTTCTCACACAGCTGGCTCTGAAGGTCATAGTAAAAAAAGGTAGTGGTCTCTGGGTTGCCTGAGGACTCCATCTGGACCAGATGGCAGGGACGTTTAGAGCATCTGAAATGATAGAGACATGGAGTTTAAAGCCATGTGGTGGCTGGGTACAGTGGCTAACACCTGCAATCTCATCACTTTGGAAAGGCCAAAGGGAGAGGATTCCTTGAGCCCAGGAGTTTGAGACCATCCCAGGCAATATAGTGACACCTCTGTCTCTACAAAAAATTTAAAAATTACCCGGGTATGGTGGTACATGCCTATAGTCCCAGCTACTCAGGAAACTGGGGGGTGGGGAAAGATTGCTTGAGCCCAGGAGGGCGAGACTGCAGAGAGCTGTGATCACGCCACTGCACTCCAACCTAGGTGACAGAGAAAAACCGTTTCAAAAACAAACAAACAAAAAAACCCAAAAAAGATGCCAGACTCTTAGTTATTTCTCTTCTGGATGAGAGAAAAGACCTGGAATGGGAAGGGGATTCTCTACAGAATGTGTTTTCCCCACAAGAGATAGCTTTGCAGGACCATTTCAAAATATGTCTATTTGTCATGTTGGTATCTTATTGCTACGAAGAGTCTATTTTATCAGGCTTAAGGACTGCTTTAATGTTAATGCTGGTCAGCCGTGCTGAATTACAAAAAGAGGAGAGTATAATGAGGCATGTCTGACCACCTATTCCCATCATGGCCTGAACTAGTGTTTCTTTAGAATGCCCTTCCTTGGCTGAGGAGTCCATTCCGTTAGTTGTGGGGCTTAGAATTATATTTTTTATTTATACAACTTAAATGCCTGTTAAGACAAACACCAAACAACCAATCAACACTTTTCAGAAAAATGAAACAAAATCCAGAGTCTACACAACATAACAATGTTTAGGACACAATCCAGAATTACTCAGCATATAAAGAAATAGGAAAACATGATCCACACTCAAAAGAAAAGACAACCAAGCAGCTGCCTGTGAGAGGAGCCACATGTTGGAATTTGTAAATATGTATCAAAATGTAACCATTATACCTGTTCTCAAGGAAATAAAGAAAACTATATTCATAACGAATGGAGAGATAGAAAATCTCAGCAGAGAAAGAAAAGTTATATAAAAGACCCAAAAGGAATTAGAAATCAACACCAAGATATCAAGAAAAGCTTCAATAATTTGTAAATAATTTTTAAAAAACCCCAGCGCTTGTGACGTCATGGCGCCCTGCGTGGCGGCGGCTGCGGCGCAGGGGGCGGGCCCGCGGCGCGGGGGCCTGAGGAGGAAGTGGTGAGATTGTTGCTCCCTCTGCGCCCAATGCTGGTTCTAGGGGCGCAGAGAGGGCGCAGTCCCTGCGGCTGCGTCGCGCTGGCCTACAGTGCCCTCCATGTTCCCTGGCGCCACCGCTGCGCTTCCTAAGGCCGCTGCTGTCTATGGAAGTAATGGAAGGACCCCTTAACCTGGCTCATCAACAGAGCAGACGAGCAGACCGTTTATTAGCTGCAGGCAAATACGAAGAGGCTATTTCTTGTCACAAAAAGGCTGCGGCATATCTTTCTGAAGCCATGAAACTGACACAGTCTGAGCAGGCTCATCTTTCACTGGAACTGCAAAAGGATAGCCACATGAAACAGCTCCTCTTCATCCAAGAGAGATGGAAAAGGGCCCAGCGTGAGGAAAGATTGAAAGCCTAGCAGAACACAGACAAGGATGTGGCTACCCATATTCAGGCATCTCACAAACCCTCTGCCGAGGATGCGGAGGGCCAGAGCCCCATTTCTCAGTACAGTACTTCCTCAGAGAAACGCTTGCCTGAAATTCAGCGGATCTTTGGCAAGGATCCAGACACACTACTATATTTACTTCAGCAAAAGAGTGAGCCAGCAGCGCTATGTATTGGAAGCAAAGCCCCAGAAGATGATAAATCAAATATAGAGGAGCAGGCAACCAAAATTGCAGATTTGAAGAGGCATGTGGAATTCCTTGTAGCTGAGAATGAAAGATTAAGGAAAGAAAATAACTAAAGGCTGAAAAGGCCAGACTTCTAAAAAGGTCCAGTAGAAAAGGAGCTGGATGTAGGTGCTAATTTTGTAGAAATGTCAGTGTTACGGAGCTTGCCACCACATTCAGAAACTGCTACAGCCTCCTCAACCTGGCAGAAGTTTGCAGCAAATGCCGGGAAAGCCAAAGACATTCCAATCCCCAATTTTCCTCCCTTGGATTTTACATCTCCAGAACTTCCCCTTATGGAACTTCCTGAGAATATTCTGAAAGGATTTATTAATAATTAAAATGGAAGGCCACAGAAGAGGGGAGAAGAGTTAATACAGTAATAGTTAATCCAGCAGAAAAAAAAATGGGAAAACCACATAGAAGGGGCATCCTGGTCCCGGAAATGCTTAATCTTCTGGTGAACTATGGGAGAAGAGGCATTGCTAGGACTTGGGAAACAGTCACTGTGAAATGTGTTGCATATCTCATTCACTGACTTGAGCTAATGATTCCAATTTGACAGACACTAAACTCATGGAGGTTCAGTTTCTCCTGATACAAATCAAATGGCTACCTGGAATAATTTTTTTTCAAGCAACAATTATTTTTCTTATCTTCAGGGTTAAAATGTATAAAATATGTTATGTGTAATCTATAATGCCATAAATGATAATGCAAAACCTAAATAATATGGTGGCCTGAGGGGCTGCCTTGTATTTGAAACATGCTTTCTATCATGTATTGACTGTATGCATTTTGTTAATGCCCATTTTGTTTGTTTAAGGTGTGTATCTTACACACCTTATTTGTTGTAAGATATACATCTTAATTGTTAGTTATGCTTTTTTAAGCAAATTACCAGTTTACATAATTAATCAGGGTGCATTTTAAGTTCTAACTTTGTTTATTGTATAATGCATCATTTGAAAATACCAAGGAGGAAATATCCTTTGTTTTTGATGATGCATGAGTGGAAGTAATGCTAGCTGGCAGTATTTGATTGTAAGGAATCAATAAAGTAATTGTGTTTTATTGAAAAAAACCCAACTGACTTCTAAAGAATCTGAGTCAAAGAAGAAATCAAAAGGCAAAGTATAAAATATTTTGAACTGATAATAACGAAAATACCACATATCAAAACTCATGAAATGCAACTAACGCAGTACTTGGAGAGAAATTTATAGCTTTAAATGCTCGTATTAGAAAGAATAAACGTCTACAATCTAAGACTTAAATCAGTGACATAAGCTAGAATTAGAAGAGCTAATTGAACTCAAAGTAAGTAGAAGGAAGGCATTAATAAAAATAAAAGAAATAAAATAGAAAATGAACAAGATCAAAATTGGTTGTTTGACAACATTTTAATACATTGATAAAATCAGCAAGGAGCAGTGGCTCATGCCTATAATTCCAGCGCTTTGAAAGGCTGAGGCAGGAGAATCCCTGCCTCAGGCTGCAGTGAGCTATAATGGTACCACTGCATTCCAGTCTGGGTGTCAAGACCCTGTCTCAAAAGAAAGAGAGAGAGAGAAAGAGACCAAAAAATTGATGAAGCCTTATCTAGATTGATTGAGAACAAAGAGGAAATATGTTACAGATCTTATAGACTTTACAAGAATAACAAATAAATATTATGATCAATTGTATGTTAAAAAATCCAACAACTTAAATGAAATAGATGAATTTCTTTTAAAATCCAACATACCAAAACTGACATGGGATGATATGGCAAATGTGAATAACCCTACATTTGTTATAGAAATATAATTAACTATAAATCCTTACCACAAAGAAAACGTTAGAACTAGAGGATTTTTCTAGTGATTTTTTTTAAACCTTTGGGGAAGAAATAACACCAGTTTTACACAAACTATCAGAAATAAGGGATGGAATATTTTCTAACTCCTTTTATGAGGCCAGAATAACCCTGATACCAAAATTAGACCAACAAATTACAATAAGAGAAAACTACAGAACAATATTCCTCAAGAACATAGAAAAATTCTTAACAAAATATTGGCAGATCAAATCCAGCAATATTTTCAAAGAATAATATAACATGACCAAGTTGAGTTTATCCCAGTGAGATTGTTTTAATACATGAAAATCGATTTAAGTCACTATATCAATAGAATAAAGACAAAAACTATATGACCTTTTCTGATAAATGTAGAAAAGCATTTGACAAAGCTCAACACACTTTGATGATATAAACTCTCAGCAAATTAGAACTAAAAGGGATATTGTACATCTATAAAAATCATTCATTTTTTTGCTGGTTATTAATTCATTTACTCCAAAATTTCAGAGGCAGTCATGTTCTGGGCCTGGAAGGCTTTGGGGAGAAAAAGGAAGATGATGTCAAATCTCAAACCTCTCCAAGTTACATTCAGTGGCCTGGCTCCCTTTTGCTGGTTGTCTCTCCCCTTCCCCATCTCTGTGGCCCACCTCAACTCTAAGGGAGTGAATTTAGCTTTCTGGAGTACAATATACATTAGATTGAGAAAGACAGCTCTAAATTATACAACCACCAGTAATAACAAGGCCTTATGTAAAGATATGTAGCCAAATAAACCTCTCTACTTCTTTCAGCATAAGAAAAATATTATTTATATGTTAGGTCTACTCAAAGTATGGTTCCCAGATCCATTTTCTTTTCTTTTCTTTTTTTTTTGAGATGGAGTCTTGCTCTGTCCCCCAGGCTGGGGTGCAGTGGTGCACTCTTGGCACTGCGAGCTCTGTCTCCTAGATTCATGCCATTCTCCTGCCTCAGCCTCCCCAGGAGCTAGGACTACAGGTGCCCACCACCATACCTGGCTAATTTTTTGTATTTTTAGTAGAGACCGGGTTTCACCGTGTTAGCCAGGGTGGTCTCAGTCTCCTGACCTCATGATTCACGTGCCTCTGCCTCCCAAAGTGCTGGGATTACAGGTGTGAGCCACTGCGCCCAGCCAATTTTTCTTTGATTTTTTTTTTTTTTTTTTGACACAGGGTGTTGCCCTGTCACCCATGCTGGAATGCAGTGGTGTGATCACATCTCAACCTTCTGAGCTCAAGCGATCCTCTCACCTTAGCCTCCTGAGTAGCTGGTAGTATAGACGTGTGCTACCACACCTAGCTAATTTTGGGGGGGTATTTTTTGCAGAGAAAGGGTCTCACCATGTTAGGTGAGGAACTCCTGGACTCAAGAAATCTGCCAGGCTAATCTGGAACTCCTGGACTTAAGCAATCTGCCCACCTTGGCCTCCCAAAATGCTGGAATTACAGGCATGAGCCACTGCACCCAGCCCAGATCAGCTTTTCTGAAGAGATTCTTGGGAAATCCCCACACCAAAGGAATCAGAGTCTCCAGAGGTAGCTCAGGAATCAGCATATTTACTAGCCCTCCAGGTGGTTCTGATGTGCAGCAAAGCTTAAGAACTCCTGATACAGGCTATTACAATTAAAGGAAAATGTATGTTTAAAATGTTTGTAAAGGAACTCACCTGAATCTATACCTCCTTACATGCGTCTTGAGGCAGAAATGGTGCTTCTCTGTTTCATATTTCTCTTAAGAAACTGAAACACCTGTCCTGCCCAGAAGGCTAGAGGAGGAGGATGGGAGCAGTCTCAGAGGGAGCCAAGATGCCAGAGAGAGAGACAGGTAGTAAGAAAAGAGCAAGGCAGAAGCCAGTCAGGCAGGCAGTTAGGGTGGATCCTTGGTGGAACTTCTTCAAACCAAGAACAGCCTGAAAATCAAGGTGCAAGCCCCAGATAAAGAAAAGAGCCTGCATGTTTGAATAGAAACCCCTACTCTGTGCATCCAGATGAAAAAATCCCACTCCTTTTTTGAACACATATCTCTGTCCTTGGCGCGCCTTTGTCTCATTTCACACGCTTCCTCCCGACTGGTCCTTACCTTTTATCTATTTTACATATACCTATCTTTCTGTGATTAGCTGCTGGCCAAATTTTCATTTGCATAAAGTGTAATGTCACATCAGCCCCTGATTGGTCCTGGGCCAAGGTCTCAGGCCAAGCCTTCACTTCAGCCCCCAATTGGTTCTTTACACTATTGTACCTCTTCCTGAGTAGTGCTTTTTCCAAGCCTACCCATAAACCAATCAGCATGTATTTCCTTATTCTAAGCCTGTAAAAACCTGTGACTCAGCCTTATAGCTATCAATCCTCTTTTGGGTCCCCTGTCTTTGCTGAGAGCTTTTCTGTGGCTTAATAAATCCAACTCTGCCTTATTCACTCTTCAGTATCTGTGTGCCTTATTTTTCTTAGTCTTGGGACAAGAACCTGGAGCTCACCAGTCGGGGGAGTAAAAGAGCTGTAATACTCCCTCCCACTCACCACACAACAGGAGTGAAAAAGCCACAACAGTAGGAAACAGTTTTTCCACATCCTTAATGAGTAAAGATTTTGAGCATCTTTTTATATGTGTATTGGTCATTTGTGTATCTCTTTGTAGAAGTGTCTATTCAGAACATTTGCCTTTTAAAAATTTGAGTTATTAGTCTTTTTATTAAATTTTAAGAGTTATTTCTACATTCCGGATACTGGAACTTTATCAGAGATATGATTTAAAAATAATTTATCTCATTCTGTGGGTTCCTTTTTAATTCTTCATGGTGCCCTTTGACACACAAACGCTTTAAATTTTCTTTTTTCCTTTCTTTCTTTCTTTCTTTCTTTCTTTCTTCCTTCCTTCCTTCCTTCCTTCTTCCTTTCCTTCCTTCCTTCTTCCTTCCTTCCTTCCTTCTCTCTCTCTCTCTCTCTCTCTCTCTTTCTTTCTTTCTTTCTTCCTTTCCTTTTTTTTTGAGGCAGGCTCTCACTCTGTCACCCAGGCCTGAATTCAGCGGCATGATCAGCTAGCTCACTATTGCCTTGGACTCTGGAGCTCAAGAGGTACTCTCGCCTCAGTCTCTCAGGCAGCTAAGACTATAGGCACACAGCACCACATTTAGCTAATTATTTTAATGTTTTTGTAGAGACAGGGTCTCACTATATTGCCCAGACTAATCTTGAACTCCTGGCCTCAAGTGATCCTCCTGCCTTGGCCTCCCAAAGCTCTGAGATTACAGACGTGAGCCACCATGCCTGACCTGTTTTTAACTTTCATGAAATGTAATTTATAAATTATTTATTTTGTTGCTTGTGATTTTGCTGTTGTAGTTAAGAAATCCTTGCCTAGTCAGGTTACAGGGATTTATAGCTATGACTTAGCTATAACTTTCAGTTATATTCCACTGGTCTTTGCATCTATCCTTATGTCAGTACCATAGCGTCTTGATTACCTTTGTAGTTAAGTTTTGAAATCACAAATCCTCCAACTTTTTTCTTTCTTCTATTCAAGATTGGAGACATATAGATCAATGAAATACAATGGGGAAAGCCATATATCTATGGTCAATTGATTTTGTTTTGTTTTGTTTTGAGACAGGTTCTTACTCTGTTGCCCAGTCTGAAGTGTAGTGGTGCGATCATGGCTCACTGCAGCCTCCATCTCCCAGGCCTAAGTGATTCTCCTACTTCAGCCTCCCAAGTAGCTGGGACTACAAGTGCACACCAACATGCCTGGCTAATTTTTGTAGAGACAGAGTTTCACCATATTTCCCAGGCTGGTCTTCAACTCCTGGGCTCAAGTGATCTGCTTGCCTCAGCCTCCCAAAGTGCTGGGACTGTCAACTGATTTTTGACAAGGATCAAAAATCAAGACCATTTACAAGGCCATTCAGTGTTAAAAGAATATTATTCTCAACAAATGGTGCCAGGAAAACTAGATAGTCATATACAAGAAAAAGTTGTACTCTTACCTCACATCGTATACAAAAATTAACTCAAAATGGATTAAAGAGTCAAATGCAAGGACTAAAAAACCTGTAGCACTTTTGTATGTCAAAGGACACTATTAAGAAATTTAAAAATAATTTTGATGGAAATTGCATTGAATTTGTAGATCAATTTGGGGAGTGTTGCCACTTTAACAATATTGAGTCTTCTAATCCGGGAACACTGAAAGTCTTTCCATTTTCATAGGTCTTCTTTAGTTTTTTTTCCACATTATTTTGTGGTTTTCAGTGAGTAGATTTTGTGCACTCTTGGTTAAATTTATTCCTAAGTATTTTTATGCTATTGTAAATGGAATTGTTTTCTTAATTTCATTTTCAGATTGTTCATTGCTAGTGTATAAAAATACAACTGATTTTTATATATCGATCTTTTACCCTGAGCTTATTTATTAGCTTTAATAGTTTTTTGGTTTTTTTTGGTGTCTTCTTTCAGTTTTCTATGTACTATAAAGTCATGACATCTGCATATAGAAATAGTTTCACTTCTTCCTTTCCAATCTGGGTACTTTTCCCCCCTACCGTGTTTAGTTGTCCTGGCTAGAACTGCCAGTGCAATGTCAAATAAGAGAGGACAATGGACATCATTGTCTTGTTTCTGATCTTAGGAGAAAAGCTTCTAGTCTTTCACTACAAGTATGATGTTAATTGTGGGTTTTTAATACATGCCTTTTATCAGATTAAGGAAATTCCCCTCTGTTTCTAATTTGTTGAGTGTTTTTATCATGAAATGGTATTGGGTTTTGTTAAATGCTTATTCTGCATCTCTTGAGTTTATTGTATGGAAATACCACAGATTTTTTTTATTCCTTCACCTATTGAAGGACATCTTGGTTAATCCTATTTCTTGGAAATTATGAAAAATACTTTATACACTATACACTAAGTATAAAAAAGTATTTTATACACTATATGTATTTGAATGCAGGTTTTTGTTTACACATGGTTTTGAGCTCAATTATAACTAGGAGTGTGATTGTATTATATGATAATGATGGCGGTGGTGGGTCATCCAGAGCAGCTGCTACCATCATGCCAGCTGCAGTGGGGAGGCATTAGCGGTGGTGGTAGAAGCAGCGGCAGGAGCGGCAGAGGGGATGGTGGGACCTCTGTGCTCTGTGTCCCCATACTCTGCATCCCCGAGGCTGCTTACTGCACCACCCCCACCCTTGCATGGCCAGGTAGGACCTGCTGTTAGGCCTGGAGCCTCTGCCACAGCCTCAACCTCACTCCCTGTCATGTTCTGGGAGCCTGTGAGTACCTGGCCAAAAGTGTAGCTGGGACTTGGAGGGCTAGCCCTGGGAGTGTCAGGTTCATTTGTGTGGGGTTGGCCAGGGCCACCATGCCACCTGCACCTTGGCCAGAACCACTGTGGGGAAAATGCGGAGAGGAGGTGTCGCTGGGACTGCATGCTCCACAGAGCCAGCAGGAGCTGGGGACAAATGGGAGCCCTGCCCCTTCGAAGTTGGTGGGACGTGGAGCTCTCCAGGCACAACTGCAGCTGCCAAAGCCATGGCTGTGACTTGGGCACCCCTGTGCTCTTGAGAACTAGGAACAGGCAGGAGCCCCGCCCTCCAAGGCACTGCTACAGCCACCCTGCTGTGGCTATGGATCCAGGCATCTCTGCGCTTGCAGGGGCTTGGGAAGGTCCCCCCGCCCACAGGCTTGGAAGTACCTGCTCCTGCTGCTTGGCTTCTCCCTGCTGTCACTGCCTGCTCTGATCTTGGAGTAAGGTTGGGGCCAAGCTCGGGTGCTATTGCAACCTGGCCGGGTGTGTGCATGCTTGGGGCAGTGCTGACATGCCAGGCCCTGTCACCTTGGCCCCCTCTGGACTTTGGGCACTGATGAGCACAGGAGGGAGGCTAAGGAGGGGGGCACTGAGGGCAGCTCATTGCTGGCCTGCAGGCAACCCTTGGCATGAACAGCCTGAGTGCCATAAACAGTGGTGGGAGGCCAACAAGCTCCTGGGCAGAAAGGGCCAGGTCCCTGGTGAAGCCCCACCTTCAAGCTGGGGAAGGCCTGAAGCCAGGTGGCTGGGCTGACAGTCCTATGAACCACAGGGGGACGTTTTGGAGCGTTTCCCTGTGCGGGCCCATGGCCGCCCATGGACCAATCAGCATGTACTTTCTCCCCTCTGCTGCCCGTAAAAACCCTGGACTCAACCAGATTTGGGAAGAGGATGGAGAGATGACAAAGAGATGATGGGATGACCTGCCTAAGAGAGGCTACCCACTCTAGGGCCTCCTCTCTGCGGAGAGCTGCAGAGACAATGGGATAACCTGCCAGCAGAGAGGAGCTTCCCACTCCAGCGTCTCCTCTCTGGTAGGAGCTGAACACTCATTGCAACTCCCTGGCTGCAGAAAAGAGCTAGGCACTGTGAGTCTGCTCTGAGCTGTTCTGTTGCTTGATAAAGCTCTTCATCTTGTTCATGCTCCACTTCTCTGCATACTTCATTCTTCTGGTTCGCAGGACAAGAACTTGGGACCCACCAAATGGCGAGGCTAAAAGAACACAAACAGGGCTGAAACATGCCCCCTGCTTGCCACATGGGCAAAGAGGAGAGAAAAGCTGTGGTCCTTTGGGGATTCCAGACCTGGGTACTCCCCAAGCCAAGACTGTGACTTCCTCTTTGGGGCCTTGTGGTTCCTGGCATCTCCAAGCTTCCGTGCACCACTGCAGTCCCTTATGCTAGCGGGGGAAGCTGCTTGTGGTGCATCTGGTCCAGTCACAGCTTCACAGAGAGCCAGCACCCAGGCTGGCACCTGGAGCTGCCTGCCCCACAGCATAGCTGGCGTGTCTGACTATGCAATGCTGGGCCCCACACTTGCTCACACAGCCCTTGCCACTTCATACCTGACTCCCAGTCTCCCTTGGAGGCATGGGATACAGGCTGGTAGTGTGAGCTGAGTGCAGCATGCTAGGCAGGACGAGCCCAGTGGGCCTGAGGAAAACTTAGGCAAAGGCACCACAGGCCACAGGTTTCCAGCCAGAAAAGAGACCCACAAAGTTC